TTATGTAATCACTAAGTTAACTAGCAAGCTCTCAGAGAATAAGGGAAGGTTTCATTAGGGATGCTGTTCTAAAATTAGACATGGAAGATGAGTAGGAGTTAACTAGGCAGCGTGTGAAGACATAAGGGCAACAATATTCTTAAAAAGTGAGAATAACCAAGAGAGAAGAGAGTATATGGTGAGTTCAGAGCTGAGAGAGTTCAGTGTGGCTGATAAGTCATACTGACAAAGAGAGGTGATAAATCACAAGTGGTTTTGAAAAACATACCAAGAACTTCAAACTTTGCCAAGTGCGCAACAGGAAATCTTGATGGACTTAAAACAGAAAAATGACTGGATCACATTTTCATTAAAAAAAAAGATTATTTTGACTGCAATATGTTAAAGATATTGAGAAAAAGCAGAATTGGAACTAAATGGAAGAAATACAATAAAACTAAGTATTAACTGCTTTATTGGATATGACGGTGAGAGGGATGGAGGACTCAAGTGTTTGATTAATGGAAAGGTTGTGGAACATCCCCAGCCTGGAGACCAAGGCCCTCTCATGTTTTAACGTGGATATTTTCCCATACTCCAGTATAGGAATCAGGGTGAGGAGCATATTTGCAGCAATGGGTAATAAAAGTTACTGATTTTTGGTTTTAGATATTTTTGTGAGCAGTGTTTGTACAGTTACTAAATGAAGTGTTTTGAGAAAGTGGATTTGGAACTTAGCAAAATCATGGTGTAGCCTGTGTCTTAATAAGATTTTTCAGTTACTCAGTAGACCCAGTCAAATTGGATAAGTTTCTTAAATTGCTCTGTAGTGGATTTTATTTCAAGCTATAATCAGTCATGTGTTTGTAGTGCTCTGAGATCTTTGTAGATTTTATCTCAACAATTTTCACATTTTCCCCTGAATGTAGTTCAGCCAAAATCAACTAAGTCCCTGAAGTACCACATAGTTAGCCAGTGTACTAAGGCTTTTCTGGAAAAATGGTGTCTGTCGTGACCTTTAATTTTGAGAAAGCCATTCATCTCCTTGTCCACCAACATATCATTTTCTAATAGAGACATAGTAAGAGTTGTGACATGTTACCCTTCCTTAGCAGGAGAGTTCAGTAAAAAGTGATGAGTTTCCAAGTTCAAAACTCTATTTATTAGCCATTGGACACCCATTTGGAATCAGTGTATTGCACTGACACTGGTTTCTAAGTTCCATATAAACACCTACACCTATCTCTTCAAAGTAGCCAATCAAGCAGTTCAGCTGGGAGACTATGTTGCTTGTGATCAAAAAGTTTCATTGGGCTTTTATTCACTCTTTCACAGAATTAAAAAAAAGAACACACCTATATTAAGTTTTGGGTGTAAGTACACAATCATGGCTCCGGACTAAGAGGTTAATAATGAAGACAAATAAACCTTAAGGCAGAGGACTTAGCCATAGTGAAATGGCATCCCATAGTGAAGTTCATTCAAAGTGACTCAGAACAACTCCAAAGTTCAAGGAAATTATCCTTGAGTAGCCTGGATCATAATGTAATTCCAAACTCAAGAAATTATTGTAAAATCTACATTTAGAGAGTATAATATGGAAAAAAGTAATAACAATAAATTAAAAAATTAACAGGCAGCTATAAATCAGACATTCTGCAAGAGCACAAGGGACTATGGCGATGGTGCACCGGTGAATTGGTGGTCGGAATTTTATGGGGACTACACCTGTGAGGAGAAAGCAAACATTGTACAAAAATGAACAATGGTGTTAAAAATATGAATAAATTATATAAAAAAAAAACTTAAACACTAAAATGAAGAAAGTTCCCAGGCAGTGAGAGACAGAAAAAATAAAATATAATACCCTGCATTAGCTCAACTACTTTCTAGATAATGCAGTTCTGTTAATAGGTTGTTTTCACAAAAGTCATTAAAATGTTTAGGAAAATACTTATGTTTTGTGAATTTTCATTCAAAGTATTAATATAACTGCACACAGGATATGAGATTAAGCAAATGCATTTAAGAGTATATGCTTCGGTTGATGACACCACTGTGAGATTTTGATAGATTACAGTTTTCCCTATTTAGTCAGATTTGCAAGTCTGAGAAAAGTACAAATTGAAGTGATTAGGAAAAACTGCAGTAAAAGGTTGTATCATTCTTGCTTTATGCCTCTGCAGTTTCTTCAAAAGTTAAATAATTAGTAGGGGGCCTCCCCAGTGGCGCAGCGGTTGAGTGCTGGGTTGCGAAGCTGTCCGCAGCCTCTGCAGCACGGGTTCGATCCCAGGCCGCTCCCCGGCCACTGGAGGTGGGTCCCACATGGGATGCAGACCTCTCCTGCTGCCCGCTGCTGCCCTCAGCAGTGTGCTTCGGTCCTTCTGCCTGCTCTGCTCCCCGCTCTGGCTCTGGTGAATTCTTTCACCCTCCTGCGCTTCTGACTGTACCCAGTGCTTGTATAAACAAATAAATCTTTAAAATAATAATAATAATAATAATAATAATTAGTAGGGTAGGCATGGGTGTTTTTTGTTATTCTTTTTCTTTTTCTTAAAATAAATAAAATCTCCATGACTTTTAACTTTGAGAGATGTTTCTTATAGATTCTCATCTGGCTGATGTGCTGCTTAATCATTATGTCGTTATAATGCATACAACACCACGAATGGCTTCTCATTACTCTTAAAATGAAATATGTGTTCTTTATTATAAGGTCCAAAACTCTGGATGATGGTACCTATTTACCTGTCAGGCTTCTTCCAATAAAGACTTCACACACTTCAGTCTCTTTCTTTAGATACTTCAAATAAAGTTCTTGCCCTTTAGACCTAAACATGTTCTTATATCTTGTGAAAATTTTTAACCACTGTTTAATGTATCTGACCTTTCTCATTTCTTACTGAGAAATTCAGATACTGTGTCCTCAGAGTAGTCTTTTTTGCCTATCACACTTCTAGCCACTCGCACATTATGTTTACTTTTTGTTTTTTGTTTTTCAATTTTAAAAGGACAGGTTTATTAGAAAAAGGAGAGAGGGAAAAAAGAGCAGTGCCTGAAGAGACACAGATGGGCAGAGAGTTCTGTTCACTTTTTTAAAAATAATGATTACTGTTTTAAATTAATGTGTTCACTTATTTCCTTGTTGGTTTATAGTCTAACACATTCCCTGTGATGGCTAATTTTCATGTGTCAATTTGGCTAGGGTTTGGAATGCAAAGATATTTGGTTAGGCATTACTTCTGGGTATGTCTGCCAGGATGTTTCTGGATGAGATTAACATGTGAATTGGTAAAATGAGTAAATCAAATTGTTCTCCCCATTGTGGGTGTGCCCCATCCAATCTTCCAAAGAAAAGAATAAGTAACAGAGAGAACATGTTCTCTGCCTATCTTCTCTGCTTTAGGACTGCTGGAACTTACACTAATTAAAAAATTAAAAGGGTAGAGCTGAGTCCTTTTTGCTGTTTAGTTTTCCTCAAGTGGATTAAGGTAACAGTAAATTAACATTCCAATCCAGCCACCAGCATGTAGATTTCCATTCACCTAAATAAAATGAACACACATGTGTTGTACAGGTTGGAGGCTCTCTCTAGAATTAGTGCATCATTTGAGCTATGTAATTAATAATACACTGGTTACCAGGAGGAATGGGGGGCGGGAAGAAGGGGTAGAGGAAGGAAGGGGGTAGGACACAGGCACAGTAGTTTTAGAGGGTGAGTGATGCATGTGCACATAAGGAAGTGTGCAAATGTACCCCCCAAATTATATTGAATAAGTAAGTGACTGACAATATAATTTGAGGAGAAATGAATGAAAAAAATTGTCCATTTTTCCTAACATCAGGTTTTAAAGTAGTCTGAAAAGATGCTTTTAATTTGTCATACTATATTCATATTGGATAAATGTTAGTTATATTTGTTAATATAGTTTTGCCATTGTTCAAACATTTATTGGGCACTTTTTATGTGCGACGCATGTTGCAAAGCTCTGGGGATAACAATGATTAAGAAAAGGCCCTCAAGAAGCTCACAGTCTAATGATAAACTGCTGAATAAACTGAGGCAGAGTGGTCAACGACTTATCTAATGAGCTAGAAATATCCTGCTATTTCTGGAAATATGGACTAGACTTAGAGAGAGGGCAGGGTACAATTAATTCATCATAAGTAAACCCCTTTAATTGAACAGCAAGGTTGCATACAGAAACATTGTAAAATCTTCTCCCCAAAATGTTAAAATGGTTTTCAGTTTTTACTGTGACTGAATTCACGTCTTGTAATGAATGAAGCCATTAACTGATGGCATTTCTATATTTGCCCCTAAAGCTGTGGGACACACCACCAGACTGGGTCTGCTGGATAGAATAACTCAGAGCACAAGAACCACAGTAAAATAATTATATTCATGAACTTTAATGGAGGGTTTTTTTTTTCGTAGTTTATTTTTTTTTGAAACCCATGAACTTTAAATGTATAGCACATCTATGTTACATTTACACAAAATTTAGAAAAAAAAACTCTCCCCAAGCTTCATTTACAGAATTCTAATGAAAAATTACAGATACCACAGAAATGAGAAAATTTGCCTCGTGCTTACTATATATGCATATTTTGCCTGTTCAAAGGTGAAGAATTTCAGACATTTTCATAATGCAGGCATTATACAGATATAGACAAATACATGGCTTGTGTAAAGTGCACAAAAGCCAATTCTACTACCAACACAAAATTCTTGAAAGAAAGGGCAGAGTCCACAAAGAATTGTCCAATTCAGTCCTGATCCTCTGTTTTAGTGATACTTTAGTGATGAAGTGATCTTAGTGGCCAAAATGTCTATTTCACTGGCAGAAAGCAGTGAATAGTTGAGTCATCTTTGAATGTGGACACCATAATTTTCCAGCATCTAAGTAGTGAACCGCTCAGAGATACTACTGGTTTACTAATTAAAAATGAGAGAACTTCATGGATGATGTATTGCTCAGGGAATAAAACTTGATGCAAAATTCACCCATAGAGGATATTCAAAACAAGAAGCCAGTACAAGAAGTCTCAAATGCTATTCGTTGCTAGCTTCAAGCAATTCTTCACTTTGCTGTAGAGGATTTTCTTCATTATCAAGGGGCTCTGGATGTTTGCTAGCAGAAATGGCCTCTTGATTATCCAACAACATATCACTTGAGTAATTCTGATCTGCATCACATAAATAAACTTCAATCGGCCCCTGGGTGCTTTTCAAATGTAGTGCAAGAGAATTTCCTGTGGAAACTGGAATATCCAAGTTCATTTCTGCTGCAGATTTAATTGCAAAAACATCCTGTTCTTCGAACACTGGAATGTTACTAATATCCTCACATGTCACATATGCCAGTCTTTCATTTTCTCCGTCACTTGTTAACTCAGACAACTGCTTATGACAGTCCTTAAGTAGCACATCCAACTTGTCTTCCATTGCTGCCAACTCAGAAAGCTCCTCCTGCAGCTTTTTCTTTCGGGCCACTGCCTGGGAATCGTTAAGATCATATCCTATCCACTGAATATGACTTTTAGATTCCTTTTTAATAAGACTTATTCCATTTAAGACACAGGTGATGTCATATATTCTTCGTTTTTGAACTCCCAGGTTTGCTGCGACTTTGTTTAATTCAAGAACACCCCCCGGAGCAGATCGAACAAGATTCATAAATTTTTTAGTTAAGCAACCCAATGAAACCTCAGCACGCGGCCGCTTCACTTTTACGGTTTCTTTCGTGGGCAGGCCTTGTGCATTATCTTCTAACTTAGCCAGTACCTCTGATGGCAGCAGGTCCTCCATAGTGGGCGGCCCTGTGTACTGGGGACTCACCATCTCTTCCGTCGGGAGTACGGGGAAACTGTGCATTGTCTGCTGCAGCAGTGGCAGTGGCGGCGGCTGCTCACTCATGGTGTCTCAGGGCTGCTCGTCACCCTCGCACCTCAAGGGCCTTCTGCTCCTTACTGCCACGGTTCAGCACCGCCAACACAACAGTTTCTCGGGTGCCAGGCACGAACCGAACCGAACCAGGCTCTGGCTTGGTAGGAATGCACTCGTGCAAACGCGCCAATATCCCAGGAACCCTGGGGCAAAATGCCGCGAGCCACGCGGTGGATGCACACCGTCTTTCTTCTGAGTGTGGCATGCACCGCCTCCCCTGTGCGCATGCGCACCACAGTTGGCTTGCTCACGCTCATCCCAACACACCGAAGCGCCAATGCCAGCGCCCTCTTGCACTCATCAAAGGAAAAATTTTTTGTATTGTACTTTCTTCGTGAGATGAATACATTGCAAGGAATTAAGTTTTATTAATAATCACCAAGATAAGTACTTATTACTAGTTGAACAAGTAATGGAACCCCCCCCCTTCTAAACACATACTTAGTTATGTGCTTTAGTAAATGATTTCACTCATTACTCTCAGATGAGGTGGGAGGATACATAAGCTTGAAAAGCTGAGGCTCACTTCTACCCTTTATGAATGCTTAACCAAAATATCCAGAATTTTCTGTGGTAATGTGCAGGAAGCTTCGGACAGAATTTTCTAGAGCACCTAAAGGGATGTTAAAAATTTCTAGTTGTAAACTTTCTGTATTTTCAAGCATTTCCTAAAATTGCTAATAAAAATATTCGTGTACATAGTCATGCTTGTGTCTTAACTATAGATCATACTCCAGGGAATAGCTACAATGAGACAAGTTAAATATATTAAGATTTGGCTTTCTTTTTCGAGGAGGGAGAAAAAGCACTTAAATCAGTTGCATATTTCTAGTACCTAGCGTAGTGCCTGTGCATCAATGATTCTGATTCCATTAATAATTGAAGAATTCAAAAACTGTTTAATTTGGATTTTTTTCTTAATTTAAACTCTGAGCACATGAGAGAACTTGCTGAGCAAATGATACTGGCATCCACCAATCCTACCATTGCCGTCTCCAAAGCACCCACTTTGCACAGACATTTTCCGCATTATGAAACTTAATTGCGGGGCGGATGGGGGAGGGGGAGGAACACTATGGACTGTGGTGGAGGACTATGGGTGATCTGGTGGTGGGAGAGCTACCGTGACCACACCTGATGGGAGAAATCCTTTATGTCAGAATACTGACAAGGATGTAAATGGTATTTCATTTAAAGATAAATAAATAAAGATCTAAAAGTATCATTAGATCATAGGTGTCTTTGGCCCCTGATATTACCTAATTTTAATTTTACTGAAATTCTGACTGGGAAAATTCTCTATCTCCTGCTCTTGTCTTTTACTTACCTTTGGAAATAAATGAATTAATCAATCAGAAAGGAGAGAGTCCTCTATTTTCTTGTAGGAATTTAACATAGTGGGGCCACTTCTCCCCACTGCTGCTGTAGTCTTAGCTGTGTTACCTAATAATGTCTAAACTACAACTGCTTAAGCGAGATTCATAGTGATATGTGCTGGACCAAATATACTTTTCCAGTCAATCTTGGAGAATCCGGCTTCTATGAAAACACAATTATTTTGCACCCTGAAAGTTAGCCTTCCTCTTTCAGGTTTATAACACCTTTTGTGGGGAAATGTCTATCAAATTCAGAAATTGCAATAGCATTAACATTTCTCAAACAATCCTGACATTATTTCACAAAGATAATTCCACTGTTCTTTTACCTCTTCTTCTGCTGCCTTTGCCGTGAACAACCCCCAGCCTGCTTCTCTCTTCATCCTTCCACACCTCCTTCCCACTCCCCCGTCCCCATTCCTCTTTTTTTTTTTCCCTATGGTTCTCAATTTTTTTTCTTTTTTTAATTTAATGTAATTTAATTTTTTAAAGATTTATTAATTTATTCATACAAGCACTGGGTACAGTCAGAAGTGCTGGAGGGTGAGAGAATTCACCAGAGCCAGAGCGGGGAACAAAACAGGCAGACTGACGAAGTACACTGCTGAGGGGAGTAGCAGGTGGCAGGAGAGGTCTGTTGCACCATGTGGGACCTTCGCCCAGGGGGCTGGGGATTGAACCAGCGCTGCGAACAGACACTGCAAAACGGCGCTGCAGAGGCTACGGGCAGCTTCACAACCCAGCGCTCAACCGCTGAGCCACCGGGGAGGCCCTCTTTTTTTTATTTTTAAACAATATTTGCTTCCCTCCACCCCCTCAGATTGAGTCCCCACAGAATTTCCTTCCCCAAGGCACCCCTGCACCATCACCTCAGACCCCTGTGCTCCTCCCTCCATCCCTCTCACCCCTCTCCTTGGTTCTCAAACTTTTTAGTCTCAGGACTCTTTTATGCTCTCAAACATAATTGAAAGCTTTTATTTATATGATTTCTGTCTGTGAAAATTTATCATATTAGGAATTAAAACATGTTCAGAATGATTAAGTTACTCTTTAAAAATGAAAGTAACTATTTTCCAAAACAAAGAATAATGACAAGAGATACATTATATTTTTACACTTAGCAAGTCATTTTAATGTCTGAGCTAATAGAAGATAGGTGAGTTCTCATTTGCTTCTGTATGTCATTTGTTGAGGTTTTATTTATTTATTTATTTTTAATATTAACTTCTTTATCTCATGCAATTTGCAGCAACATGGATGGAGCTGGAAGGGATCATGCTCAGCAAAATAAGCCAGAAAGAAAAAGAAAAATACTCATAGCAGGAATTTAGAAAACCTAAATAAGGGACCAAGAAAAAGACTGATTACAATAATGTAAAAATCATAATCAACAAGCAACTATAAACCAGAGACACACTACAGGGTGGAGGGGAGAGGAGGGATCAGGTCAAAATAAGGGGTGGGTGGGAATTGTATGGGGAATATAACCAAGATGAAGATGCATACATTGTGCAAAAATGAAAAATGATGTAAAAAATATATAAAATAAAAAGAATCCTTTCATTTTGCCAACTATATATCTGTTGAAAGCAGAATATTCTTCATACGCTTTAATTAAAATAAATACCCCTTCCTCTTTAATAGAAGTGATTACATGAATTTTCAAGACCTAGGCCTATAGTAGAAATCAAGTTTCTGGAAACCTCTTCTCTATTGTGCAAGGATCTTAATTTGGAAGGTTCAGAGACCTGATAAACACACTACTGAAATCGACATTTTTTCCCACTGAACGTGGAGTACTCTTGCAAATAAGAATCTTGGTGACTTGCATGAATATTTCAGAATTCTTGAAATGTCAATGGGTAGTAAATCTTACCATAAATTTTACTGTAATGATCCAAAATTATAAAATGTCCCTGTCCATCAATTTACACAGCCAGGGCTCAATGTGATCTTCATTCTTACAATAAATTCTGTAAGAAATGCATTCATCAAATTGAAAGCTTTAAAATAACAAAACATGCAAATGTAATCAAGTAAAATATTTATATTTCAAGGCCAACCTGGGTCAAAGCTCACAGATCAACATTTCCTGTTCTTAAGGTACAGTGGGGCCTTATCTTTAAATGAGCCAGTATGAGGGATTTGGGGGCCACTTGGCCAAAATGGCGGTAAATGTAAGTTGTTGTTCAAGTTATAATCAACAACAGGTATAATGTTTAATTATCTCAATTGTTACTAAGAACTGCACATAGATAACATTGGGTAAATATTCTCAGATTCAATTGCAATTTACAATCTTCAATATTTATACATTATCCTAAAAACATTAAATTCTAATCTGCCAAATTTTATTTTTTTTTAAGATTTATTTATTTATTTATACAAGAACTGGGGTACAGGCCAGATGCACGGGAGGGTGAGAGGATTCACCAGAGATAGAGCAGGGAACAGAGCAGGCAGACTGACGAAATACACTGATGAGGGGAGCAGCGGGCGAGACAGGAGATGTCTGCGGCGCCATGTGGTACCCTCGCCGGCCCCCGGGATCGAACCAGTGCTGCAGAGGCTGCGAACAGCTTCACAGCGCTGCGCTCAACTGCCTGTGCCACCAGGGGAGGCCCTAATCTGCCACATTTTAAAAAGGAAATACACAATGTGAAACATGCTAAGTGAGATCACATTATAATCTAATTTCAGAGGCAGTAGGCCAAAAACAATTGTCTATTGGTCTTCTATGAATGTACTTTTGTACTGTAGTTTGAAACAGAAATGTAACTTTTTTTCACTGTTTACTTGGCTCTCATTCATAATGTTTTTGCTAGTCTCAAAATACCTAGTGTTTTAGATGAAATGATTTTTATACTCCCTCATATTTTGTGTAACACATATGTTCTCTGTTCATAGAATAGAATATGAGACACAGTGTAAAGTTCATAAATTACAAACTCCATTGTGCAAGATGATTTTTTCGTGTTAAAACAGAATATAATTTGTTTCTTGAGGCCTCATTCTTTCTGTGGTTGAACACTTCATATTAAGTGATTCAAATTAAACTCATTGAATGTAAACTTTACTCAGCCAAATTATGTTTTCTCCTTATACCTTGCTTTTACCCCAGGGCTACATCACAGCTCCAACGGTTCATCTAATATTATAGCATTTTGGGGAAAGGAGTGTCTATTTATTGATTCTTGGCAAATATTCCTTCTGGCATCTGCTGAAATTTATGTCATATCCAGTTAAAGATCTATGCTAGAAACTGTACCCTCTTAATCCTGTCATCTTGGGTAAGTCATTCCTTTCTCTGTTACCATGTCTTCACTCATGAGAAATACATAGTATTTGAACACTCTCCCATCCATCCTTTAGGGCTCAGGAAATTACTGAAACAATTTACGCTTCCCTCCTAGACTTGGCATATCAGTTTCTGTAGTACTGCTGCTAAGTGAGCCATGGTGGCAACCAAGAACTCTTCAAGGTCTG